TACATATATATATATATATATATATATATATGAAAATTTTGTCTTAACGCGCCTTTTTATCACCGAAACACTGAAAAGTAAGAAAGACAATACCATGATCGATCAAAAACTGCTTTAGTACGTAATTGATAAAAATTCGCAGAAAAAAAGCGAAATTTTAGTACGGGTGTTTTAAGGTGGAATGAAAAAGTATGATATGCTGGAAAGGTAAGCAGATAAGGTGGGCTGGAGCAAGTGGCAGGATGTTTTATTACTTCAGCAATTTTTTTAAGGTACGCATCAGCAATTTACACCTGTTATTATCGTCTTGCTCCATTAGTCGTTAATAAGGGCGAGAAGAAAGAGATATGGATGAATGCAAAACGAGAATATGCAGAAATATTTCTGATGGGAAGGCGGATTTGGCGACGGCCGACACATCCCACCAGGCTACGTGTTCTCTATGATTTCGCCACACTTTGTGTTCGTTTCAGTGGCGTCCCGGTAAGTTTTGTTGACTGAATTTTGGCTTACAATTTTTTAAACTCCCAGATTAGGCTGTAGAATTCTTGAGAGGAGAGAGGGGAGACACGGTAATTTTGTACGAAACCCAATGCTGCACGAATTCAGGAACTTAATGTAGGAGACGTGAAGTCTCAACATCACGGATTAGCGTCGTTAACACAGTTGCTATACAGTACGATATAAAATATTTGACTGTATTCGGCCTGTTTAACTTGTAGTCCGATGATTAGGGACATCAGATGGACTTCCAAGCTTAGGCCTGGAATATGCCGATGAAAAAAATCGGGATCTGAATTAAACTATGTGTTTACCGATGTATAATGTGTTCCGGTTGCGCCCCCAAAGCATTTTTCAATGTACAGACGATTCTGGATGTTCATTTTCTGTTTGTTTCTTTTTCTTTTTTAGGATGACGACACCGTTGTACTTTTCCGTGATTTACTTTATGATTACGACAATTTCAATTTTGAAGTGCTAAGTGAAATCGAATACGCACAGTCAATTGAGAAAGTTAGCTTTTGTCTGTTTGTACCATTAAAGTAGCCCAAGTAGTACCAAATGGCAGCAGCAACTTGAAAATTATTAGTAATCTCTGATAGTTAGCCAGGCCCTAGTAATCCTTGACAGTTTTTTCTTCGAGGGGAGGTCTGCAGAAAGAAGCAGCATCAAATAAGGCGTACAGACTTTTGCAGCAGGCCACTACTAACTGCTACAGAAATAACGTCTGGAGAAACCGGTTTTCTCACAGCTGGCTTCACTTTCGAAAAATCATACTTGTCGAAGCTGCTCTACTGATCGGAGCATCCTCATCTCAGGTTTTTAAGGTAAAATTTGTCAAATAGTCTTCATTTCATCGGTCGGTTTCAGACTGTGCGTTTGGAAAACCACGTAATTGACTTATTTTATCAAAGACGCCGTTCAACTGTCGGATCTACACGTTCCAGTTTTCATTCAAAGAGTGGTGCCGAGACGCCGCGAAGCAGTTTTAGAAGCTTGAAAGTAAAAAGCATAACAAAAACGGACGATATTCAAGCGACTGCCAATTTAAGGGTATGCAATGGTCAGCTTCTGACGAAGATTCTTAAAAAAGACTTGTAAAATTCAAACAAGATCACCTGTTAGAAAGTTGTGAAACTATATACTGAGGGCATTCCACTGGCTAAGTTGGCAGACTAAAAGCTGCACACTCAGGATATGAATTCCACAATTTTTGGAACAGAATCTTACTTTTATAACGTTTAATTCCAGAAAGCATCATCACTTTCCGCACCGGAAAGTATTATCTCGGATGCAATAACATTTCCGCTTCTGGATGTACCAAATACGAAAAAAGAACTCACTCGTAAGCCTAGCGTTCGGTTTGTTGAAAAATCAGATAATGATGGCGGTGAGTTATTACTGGAAGGCGAGCCAGCTACTGCTGTCTTTGTCGATCAAAAAAGCGAATTTCAAAAAAATGGGCACTCCTCGAAAATTTTCACGAAATCTGTGCCTTCCTCAAGTCATGCTCACACATTGGCACACGAAGCCTTTACGGCAGAATTTGGCGGACAACTGGTGATTCCGGAAATTATTGTTTCGTCGAAACTGGCGTCTACTGCCGAACCAGTGACTACCATGCTCACAACGAGTGAAAACAATGAGACTGAAAAGGAATTTATGGCCTACAAAAAACCGGAATCTGGTGAAATTAACCGGACGTTGCCTTTGATTGTTGCAAAGGCACATCTGTCAATTACTTCTCCAGTATTTGATTCAATGAACAACAATACTAGGCAAGCGTAGTTGGGTCTCGTCACATCTGGACAAAAATTCAGAGGTCAGTGTTTTCATCAAAATAAAAATATTTCCGAAATTTTTTTCCGAAATGTACGCAGAAACAGAAAAGCAAAAATAAACTAGCGCTCTGGGTGTAACTGTGTCGACCATTTGAGTCGGATGGTGTTAGCAGCAGAATCTTTTTTCACCAGGGCCATTGCTGTATCTTTCTCATACTTTAAGATTATACAGCCCAGGCTGGAGCGCACCAGGCTTGCCGGTGCGAACATGTGTTTTTGCACTAAACTCGCGGGTCGCTAACTGCATGAATAATCCCCGCGCTGCAGCCAAACACGGGCTCATATTGGCCATGCTTTGGCTTCTTTCGTCTTGCAGCAGAATGGGCATCGGTAGGGATGAGGGTGTTGCGTGATAGAGTCTCATGGACCTGCAGCTGCATGATTACCGGTTTTTCGCATAAAGCTCGGTCGTTTTCTCAGTGAATGCCAGCTTTCTGAAGAAATGAAAATGCAAGTTTTTTGAAAAAATGCAAATTTCCAGCTCACAAAATCATGAAATCGCTTTTCGCCAAAGAAACTTACATATTTTTTGCGGGGCCCGTACGCGGGGTCTAGGCGCGTATGAAGGAAGATCTTAAAACGGGAGGGTGAT